AACTACTGGACTCGATTTAAAAATGAGGCGGAGAGGGGGCGCTAATACCTTCGTCGGTGCTGCGCCGTATCTTAACCAAGTAACCAAGTAAGTAACCTTTGTTTGTTTTTGTCTGGAAGTTAGAACTTATGTGAGTTATGAGTGTAGAAGTAGCTATTTCCTCATGAATTAAGGCAGAAATAAAATTTCAATTGAGCCACATTAAAAATTGTATTAAATTTGCCACAGCTGCACTTATATAATAATTAATACCTACTACTTAGTTAATTAATTTCAATATTAGTATTTTTCATGATACTTGTTTGAAGGCTTAGGATACATTCATTATATAAGTAATATTATTTAATAATTAAACCTGTTACATTTTTTAAGGCACCATAGTAGCTCATTTTTTATTTTTATTAGTAGGTACCTTACCTAGCTATTTGAAATTTGAAGAGCTAGCTAGGTACCTACCTATATCTAAACTGCTATACATGATACTCAGATTTATCATTTCCTTCTTATTGCATTTCTTCCCAAGTAAGGCTTGCTGCTTGCCGTGCTTGGATTCATCACATAAAAGGTGTACATAATAAATAAATAACTGTACAATGTCTACTGGGGATTTTTTTCTTGTGACCCCATGGTCAGGAAGATGTGCCAGGTGCGCGGGAATTTATTTTGTCATTTTAACGACCTGTGCGGTGTGCCGTACTATGCTGGTAAAAAAATGAGCCGTGCGCTGTACTTTAGAAAGCTAAAATAGTTTTACTATTTTAGTCGACAATATATGCGAGTATATTGACTACGCGAGTCGAACTGACAATAATAAAATGTAAGACATGCCCGAGAACTCCGGGTTACTTCTGACTCTTCCGCTTGTCCGCCTTGTTGGATACGGAACGTACGGTAATTGTAAACTGCGGCTATTATACATACAAAATGTAAACAGACGGTGTTCAGTGTTGCCATATGTCTTTGGAGAAAATTTCTTCTAAAATAATGTTCTAGATTTCTCATTCACCAAATTTCCGTATCAAGAAAAATCATATACTATTATTGAAAGATAATTAAAGGCATACTGTACTGAGTAATGTGAGTATTACGTCTGTTCCTCCACAAACTGCTCGTGCGCGGCAGCGCGACCTAGAATTGATGGCCGGGATTGCGCGAAGAGAATCAATTTTCATTACATTGCGCCAACTGTGCACAGCAATAGCTTAAAAAAAATGAAAATGCGCGGGAAAATTCACCGAAAACATACATCATCCTGAGTGTGGTTGTTACCAACATAGTGCCTTCTTTTTATGTTACCTACTTAACTGTCTTTCATAGTGCCTGTCTTCAAAGTTCAAAATATTTTGTACATTTTACAATAATTGCCTGTTAGCCAAAATTTATTCAAATACTGAAATAGTAATAATATATAATATAGGCCAGTAGTTTTGTGTCCAGATTTTACTGTCTGATAGTCTGACTCTGATTTAGCCTATTATATAGTTGATAACTTTTTAGTTCTTGCAAATGATTCTCTTAGGTCCCTGTGTTGCCTGTGATTCATCAAAAATGTGTCTTTGTTATCTTGGACCTGGAGTACCATAAGGTTGAAGGTTTGAACATAAAATGGGCATTGAACATAGAAGTATCATATGTTACTCTCAGAGTAGAGTAGTGCATTTTGTCGACTCAGCATCATTAATTCATCAGAGTGAGAGTAGTGCCAACTTAACATCATCAGTCTCTCACAGTCTCACTCACCTAGTGAGTTGGAGAAATACTGGACTTGAGGAACACTTCCTTGTTCCAGCACAATCCTAAAACTTGTGTCATTCAATATAATCATCTTTCAGTTTGGATTTACATTGTTAAAAAAAAACAATTGTTCCAAAATGCTTCATGATCATTCAAAAGTGTTTTATTAAAAATCCTAATATATCCTGCAATATATTCTACTATTTGATGGCTGCTAGTCTTGCTGCAACTTAAATTTAGTGTCTTGTCTTCTTGAATTCTCAAGAGACTCAAAAAATAATTCTCAAAAATTTTTACAAAATTATCACTGATGATTGAGGATTGTTTCATAGTTGGATTTATTCCCATGGTTTGAAATTTAAATGTGATTTACCTTAATTTTATTGCAAATTCATCTATTTTTAATGTGTGTTTTGTTTGTTATTTTTTTCCTCCTCTAAGTCAAACTCAATTTATTGATTAGTTATCAGATCTCACCTTATTACTGCTCTCAAAATGCCTAAGAACAAAAAAGTTGAATCTGGCTCTGATTCAGATTCTGGACCTGAGGATGTAAGTATATTATCTTTTACACAACTCTATGTTTTTATTTAAAATATTTTTCTAATAACTTAAATTGTATATTTATTTTTGAGAAATAAATTGTAATGCATATATAAAATGGATGTTGGAAAATTTGCCTTTGAATTAAGCTGATTTCAATAGGGAAAGAGCTTGGCTAGAGGCCAGTAGAGGGAGATCAGTAACAAAATGTAAATAAACATATTGAATATAGATTTTAGAATATCCAACAAGCTAAATTATCATCACAATTCTTTGAAAGCTCATTTATTAGCACTTTAAACTTAATGATGCTTATTAGGAGGAAATTTTTGAGTTTTTGTTGCTGGATATGCTTATGTTAGATCCAAAGAATTATTTTTGTCATGTAGATTTCCTCATCAAAATTTCATTCACAAGCACATCTTTTTGACAATCAGATGTTTTATTGCTCAGCTTATTTCTTCAGATAAAATTTTCTGTTAATATATTCTTATTCTCACAGCGCAATCCTGCAAAGAAGTCCAAATCTGAGGCTGATGGAGGTAGCAAGAAAGGTGGGCGCAGCAATTCCCCCAAGCGCAATGAAAGCGGTGACCCCTACTGGGACCTAGGAATGCGCAAGCGTGTCACAGTCAGAGAGTTCAAAGGCAGCACCTTTGTAGACATCAGGGAGTACTATGAGAAGGATGGCAAAAATCTTCCTGGCAAGAAAGGTTAGTAGCTGATTCTGCTCAATGATCCCAAATTGGTTTTATTCATGATGGTTAAAATATCTTGTATTTTTTTTAAGAAATAAAACATTAAATTGTTAAGGATTCTTTGTAATCATAATATTATTTAAAATTTATCCTTAAAGAAGTTCCTAAACTTGATGTTGTCAGCTGAAGAATTTACTAAACTAAATCAGAAGAATTTAAGATAAAATAAAGAACAAAATGGAACACAATTTTCCATACTTTTCCATTGAGAATGTGTTAATAAAATGTACTTTACAAACCTTAGGTCTCAATGTGCCAGGATTAGTGTGTTGATGTGATTAATATTCGCAGGCATCTCATTGAAGGCTGGAGACTGGGGGCTCCTCAAGGATCTCATCGAGGATATTGATGACGCTCTCCGTCAGCACTGAGTCAACTATATCTTTCATTTCTTTTCATCTGTGATGTATTACATTGAAAATTGGCTTTATTTTCATATATGACAAAGGATTTTTTTGATGTCTTGGACTACGAATTGTGTAGATCTACAAATTTGTTGTTTGTAACTGTACTTGTAGGTAGCTTGGGGTTATTCTTTCCCTTAGGTTTTTGCTACACGTAATTCGTAGATGCGGGAGAGTCATCTGGTACTACCAAATTTTCTTGTTGTGATTTGTTCGATGGAAAGTTTGGGTGAAAATTGTTGGAGTGTTTATTTTTATCTTTAGTTAAAGTATGAATGTCAGTTGCTGGCATTAGTATTTAGTATTCACATCTGCTGCCACTTGATGATTTAGAATAAATCTAATAATCTAATAAAGGTTGAAGTCATCTGAAGTCATTTTATTATGGTCTTTGAAGGAAAATGTATGCAGCCTGTCAGAAGGGTACGTCTCTGATCGCACTCGAGGCTATCTATGTATGCTCGATATCGAATGGTTCAAGCTCTATGTCGTTGTAACGAGAACATTTAAAATTAGGGTTCAATTAAATTTGAAGAGGAATATTTTGGTGAACCGCTTTTGCATGAACTACGTATTATTATTGTTACTTCTTTGTGGTTGTTTGCTGTTTTGCCTCGGTTTTGGTTCAGGTTCAGCAACACAACTTTATACGTAGTACAATCAATAGTATGTCACTAAAACTGGAAAGCCGAGGCTCGACATTAGTCATTTATGTAGTTGAGTATCTCTTTTTATATTGTGAAGCCTCGAAAAAGTATTACACAATGAACAACAATGGGACTGATTTAATCGTGTTAGCCCTTTGGATGCACTTTGTTAATGTAAAGTTAAATTTCATTGATTGTACAAGTTAATAATCAATAAATTTGTGGAAAGATAAAGGGTCCTCCTGCTGCCAAGATTATTTTAAATTGCTTCGCTAAAATTGCAGAGACTATTTTTGGCGTTAATTTGGTTCTAATTGCTGTGTAAATAAATATTAAAGTGTGAACGGACTAATTTGGGTAAAAAATGACTTGGACGCCACGAGTTCTCTCTGAAGGAAAAGGATTACGGTGTACAATATTTTTTAGCTGCCTTGAGTATATTTGGAGACTTAGTTCTTCGGCCTTTGAAATAATTGAGGATCTGCACTTGAAAGAAAGTGAAGTCTATATAGCGATTAATTACCATTTCGAAGGGGGAAAAAATTATGCATTATTGGCATTGGCTATTTAAATGGGCGTAATGAACTACGTCGAGATCGGCTTATTCGTTATTAAGTTTGGCTCATGAGAGTAAGAAGATGATCGGAATGGTTGAGATGTGTTAATTAGTTTCACATTATTCTCTCTGTTAAGAAGGGAAGACGGAGCGCTCTACACTACGTAACAATCATTAGCAATAATTTGACGAATGAAGATGGAGAAAAATGAAGACAAGTTGTGTTGCGACTTTGGTGTCTGCGAAGCACTAATGGAAGTAATTGAGCAGCCTCAGGATCTGTGTGGAGCAAACACAAATTATGCTGAAGGTGCTAAGAAATTAGAGATCGTGCAGAATACGTGATATATGTCAAAGTGGAGCTAATAATTTATGCTGGCTTTCACTGAGGCCGTTCGTATTGACGTGATAAAGAAACTGAGAAGGTACTGACTTTGTAAAGTATTATTGGTTAGTTTCGATGTCATTTGTATGAATTATCAATAAGTTATTGGTTCGGCATTTATTGCCGACTTTGTGTAGCCTGCTGAAGTTCAGCGTGACCGTGGACTAAGAAGTCCTAAACAACTCGACATGAGGTCATAAGGTAAGGTACCAGCTCTTGGAATCGGAGGAAAAAGTTCCGTTGTATAAAAGAATCTTGACAGAAGGAAGCAGGTTTTCGGTGCCTAAAAAGTAAAGCCATGTGAGGCAACGCGAACGTCGGGTTTCGGATTGGGAGCTATCCTTTTTTGTCCTGTTTATTATTAATTTGGCTACATGAGGTACAACAAACGTTTACATGTTTGAGAACTACGCAAAGTGTTTGTCAGAATCTATATTCTTGTGGGAATCGAAAGCATGTAAGTTGACTTAGTTTGTCTTCAGAGCAGGTCTTACAAATGCCCTTCAACATTTCGTACACAAACCTGGAGCAAAAGGAGGGAATTATATAGAGGTAACATACAGGAAGAAGCATTACGAGCTCAGATACTCTGATAGAATTGCCGTATCTACCCTTAGCGGCTGCATATACTGAAATGGCCATGTATGAAGCATCGCCGCTGGTGATGAGATGTGTTGGAAATATACGTCTATAAGTATAACTACTATGTAGACAAACATCAAATGTTTTGAATGGTGACAATCAAGTTGGGGGGGGGGTAGCTCCTTTTGCAACCGAAAGATTAATGAAGGCTGGGGTAGTATGCTACCTGGGAGAAGTTTTTTTTCGTGAATTGGCCTGCATGACGCTGTTATAAGTGTCATGTGTAATCCAATATTATTTCAAGATCACATTCAACTTTCAAGATTACTGTTGTCTGCCATCCACTATTCAAAAGCGACGTAAGGCTTTTTTTTTGGCATAATTACATTTTGGTTTATTCCTCTTATAGTTCATTATCTTCAGCTTTCCTATGAACATTTCTTGAAAGGGGGTCAAAGTGAAAACTCATCTCCCTTGTCTACTGAAAGTTACTTGGTTAAGATGAGGCGCGTACCCACTGAAAAAGCAGGCGGGTCCGCCAAATTGTCGATTCAGTTCAACGAGCCTTGCATCTGGCAAGGACCAGTCCAATCCAAATTTGTTGTCTGTTCGCATTAAAAATTGAAAAAAATAGCTTTACAAATTTTAAATTTATATACGAACACAAAATTAGTTTACTAAAAAAAGCAGAAGTTAATATGACGGAACAGTACCAAAATATTAAAAGTGTTCGATCCTTCAAACGAATTGCCTATCATTGTTCTTATGCAAGGGTGTTTATTGACAGTCGCCTGTTTCGCATTGACAGATTTTGATGTGAAATTATTCTTCACCTTGGCACAGGCATGATGTTTTAATTATGTCGGGGAACAACTTGACACCGGAGGAAGAGCTGGTACGTTTATAATTGCTCATTGCAAGTTTTAAATCATGATGGACCGACGGAGATTTCTTTCTCATTTGATGGTTGTATAGTCAGGTCTCTTCAAAATTATTAGGTTGGTAGGTAGTTCAAACTTCAATCTTATCACATTTTGATGCATTATCATATGTATATTATAAGGAAGACTGAATTTGATTGTGTTCAATTTGGCTCTAATACTCGTTTGCAAAGAAACATTATTTTGAAGTTTATGTATGAGTTTATGAAGTCATTAGCCTATTATGTTATTGAAGTTTGATTGATCAAGCTGTTGACTCAACACTCAAGAGTCAAGACTCCTAGACGTGAATGAATGCAAGTTATGCAACATTGCTTGAACTCGGCACAAAAAATGCATGTATAAGAAAATTAATGATTGTTAATGCTTTAGTTCATGTTAATTGTCAATTAAGAACCTAAGTCCAAAACTGGAAAATTGTGCAAAAGCATTTGTACCTAGGTATTCAAACTTTCAGTGAATGAAACATGAATGCATTTGATTTGATGCCTGATTGATGGGGGACAATTTTGAATTTTACCCATTCTTATTGCCCTTTGGGCCTTTTCCAAATTCTTCAGGAAAAACTAGGGGAAGTACCTAGAACATATTAATGATGATATTTGCCCACACTTTTGAGAAGTGCTCATGAAAGAATTATTTTAGCTATGATTTTTAAAAAATTCTGTTAAGTATTCCTAATGGAATACGGTACCTAATTCTTTGATGCAAATTTATACAATTTTTTATTTATATCCATAAATTTAATTTTTCAAACTATTAATATAGTATATACTAGGCTTAATATAGTAACTCTTTTTTGCCATAAAGGCCAAAAATTTATAGTTAGAATCAATAGTAGTAAAATATAATGAAGACAAAAAATCCATCTAAATTTTTATTACTTTTGTAGCTAGCCAAAACAATCTGAAATATAAGGCATAATTTTCTAAAACTAAAAGTCACAGGTGAAAGAGAGCTTTTCATGGGTGAATCTTGAAATTGTGGATAAAATATTATTTTATCTCATTTCTAAAACCCTAGTCATGGCAGCAGGGTAAGAATTTTCCTACTTATGAATGAAATTTTTCACCTTGAAAGTGACAAACTTTTCATACATTTAGAATCTTGCAGCCATATGCTTGGTAGTATAGTTCATTTATTTTTGCATCCAGTTTTTAAGTACAAACTAGTTAGAGTATATGACTGTATGCAATTTGTCCATGTTTCTAACCCATGTCTGATAATGTTACCAATCCTGTCTGGCTATTGACTGACTTCTATAAACATTTATGTATATATATACACAGTATACTACCTAATCCATATTTTAATGATTTAATGTCCACAAAAACAGAGCCAAAAGATGCTCTGTGATTTTTCTCTTTTGTATGTCCATAAAGTGTTACACTTATAGTGTGGGAGTGCGTGATGTTGCATATGCGGCCTTGGGCAGAATAGAAATAATATACTCATATACTGAGCTTACATTCAAACATGACGTGTATCAACTTTCATCCATGTTAACTTTGCTGATTGTTTGAAAATGCTCTTTATATAAGTTATAGGGGTATATAAATGTATATAATGTACATATGATATAGCCATTAGGGATTAATTATCCTGGAACTTGTTCATATTTTTGATCATTCTTATTATTATTTAGCAATTGATTTTATTGAAGTTTGAGTTGAGATTTGGGCCATTTGGCACATAAGAACATGTATGTTGCATGAAGTAGATATTCAGTCAGTTCATGTTTTTTCAATTAAAGTAAATAATGTACATACCTATCATAAATCCTGGTTTGCTGCTGAGTAGCAGTGAATTTTTTTTACTCATTGAGACTACAAATCTATTTCATTTGGTTGAGCCTTGAAGCATATTTGCTTTGTATCTGTTAGATGTAGATTCAATAAATATTATTGTTACCTGAATATCAATTTTTTATTTTGACAGGTGAGTACGAGATTGTCATGGCCCTAATGAGATATCTTTTTATGGCTGGGGTAAGTTGACTTAACATTAATTATGATAAGCTTTCATATTAACTAAGGATTAGATGGCAATTTATTCGTTCCATGTTTTTAATTTAGTTTGAAATTGCCCTACAAAGTACAAGCTCCATGAAAGTTTAAATAAGAATAAATGGTTTAACCCATGTTGGATGACATAAATACAACTTTCTCTACATTTGAAACGGAAAAACATTTTATGCAATTTTAAAGCTGCTACAATTTGAAGTCGTGTTGCTGCCAATGAAGAAATGCATAGCATA